AATTTTTTTCTAATACATGTTTTCCCTAAAGCCCCAATACCTTCATTCCTTTGTCCTGATTTATTGCTGCTGCCTAACCACAGCTACAAGGCAGAAAAAATAATAATAATAAAAATTTTAAAATCCTAGTAACAAGCACATCAGGATTAACATACTAGGTCTGTTAAACCACCCAACAATGAATTAACTCATCTTTAATTTATTAGCTTGATTCTGATATAAATTCTGAATGAAAAGTAAAAGGTTGTGTAGATTAATAATATTAAAGTTCCAAAACAAACCCCTGAAAAAATAGGAAATGTTAAGCAAAGGGAACTATGCCATCTTTAATTCATTTCTCTGTTCCTAAGCAATTCCATGCATGCAGGATGCAGGCTCAGGACTGCATTTTTAAAAAAGACCCTGCCATACCCAAACCATCAATGTAAGGTATAAACAGCACAGCATATTACTCCAAACCTTAAAGCCTAACTCACAGGTATTCTGTGTGACATTGGCATTAAAAAAATTTTCATTATCTCCTTTCATTAAGTATCACCTGCTTCTGTATGTTCTACACAGATAGGTCTATCATTCTAGAGGCAAAAATTGCAGGTCAAGTACTAGATCAATCCCCAAGCGGCCTCAGAGGTATTAACAGACCTCCATAGTATTCAATCTGCAGCCATAGATTAAGCACTGTGGAGTTGAGGAATCAAAACCAACAATCTGGAGGTGGGGGAAGGGGAACTTTCCTTCCCTCTTCTAGGTTCTTTTGGCTCCTCTAATGATTAAATCTGCATGAGACAGATTAACAAGAGGAAATAACCAAATTTAATTACATATGTATGTATGGGAACCCCACATCCATGAGAGATTCAGAGACAGGGGAAATGAGGTCTATATGACATTCTGGGCTAAGGAAGAGGTAAGGCACCTTGGGCCTCAGAGGGGAAGAAGGTCATTCAAAGGATGACAAGAAGAGCAGATGTTCAGTAAATGGAAGTTTGCCCTGCTCTATAGATAGGTCACAAAATCTTATTTCCTGTGATAACTCTTATTATGGGCAAGGCCCCTAATTTAAATTCTTTAAGAGAGAGGTAAAAGTTTCTCATGAGCCCTTTCAACTACCTTCAGCTCAAAATAATTCACTTGTCTAAGTGGCACATCTTGGGGAGGCCTGCTCTGAACCCCTTCAAATCTTAGAATGAAAAGAACATCAGTGTCAAGGAACTTGGGTTTTCTTGAAACTTTTATTACTCAGTAAAATCTCACTTATTTAACCTGATTGGGAAGGGTAGCCTGAATTTATAAGATGGACACAAGACAACTTATAAATAATGGAAGTGATTTTTTGCTTTCCAGCATGAACAGTTACTTCAGTTCAAGCTCTCAGCATTACCAAATTGTGGTTTCTGTGCCTCCTGCTGGGACTGACAAGAAAAAGTGAAATTGGCATGTTAATTCTACAAACAACTTAGTTAATTTTTTATAAACAACTTAGTTAATCATTAGCTTAAACGTTTTCCTTTCAATATTTACGCCAGCAGGTCTCACAGGACACACTGATGTGTTGCAAGTAACTGAATACGTATTATAGTAGAAGTATCTTGAAAATGATTTACTTTTTAAAATAAACCAGAGATGATTTAAGATTACCATAATAATCTCATGGCCATGTGTTTGCATTTCAATATGCTTTCTTGAGAGAAAAGCAGAGGTATAAACAGCACAGAGATGAAGCCAGGAACCACACATGGGGCTGTGTTGTTTATGCCAAGAACATTATTCTATGTCAGAGGGAAAAAAAAGCAGAACTATTGCTTAACATTATCAATTTTCTTAACTAACCCTTATATCATACAGAGTTAGAACTGAACCTGGCTTACTTACCAATGGTTAGAATTAATTAGGTTTTACTTACTGTCTAAACCTACACGTAGCAAAGAATTTGAACCTTGGAGATTTGCCCACCACTAGCATGTTATTGTGTTGTAGGGAAATGAGGTGTCGTAGGGAAGAAGAGTATAATCTGGAGAAACAGTGGGATCCCCGCTAAGCCTTAAAAGTGGCATCACCTTGGTGAGGTCACCTCAGGCCAGTCTTAGTCTTGCAGGTTGAGAAACTCAACTTTCCTAGGGCTCTATCGTTTCATTCATCAGACTGAGAACTGATTTAGGCGGCTCAATTGTCAAGAGATTGCTATATAGTGTTATTTACTTACAGATATTTAAAAAGTTTAACTATCACCGTCATGGGTAATTGAGAGTTGGCTAAGTAAATATGGACCACCCTTGAGGGCCATAAAAAACACCATGACATCAAATCTCCCCTGGCTTTTATTTATTTATTTTAAAATATATTTTTATTGATTTCAGAGAGGAAGGGAGAGGGAGAGAGAGATAGAAACATTCATGATGAGAGAGAATCACAGATTGGCTGCCTCCTGCACACCTGCTACTGGGGATCAAGCCCATAGCCTGGGTATGTGCCTTGACTGGGAATCGAACTCTGACCTCCTGGTTCATAGGTCGACGTTCAACCACTGAGCCATACCAGCTGCGCTCCCCTGACCATTAGACATGAATATATTTAGGCCATTCCAGATGGACATGTATTTATGTCTGAATTTTAAAGCCCTTGATAAAGGGTGTCACTTCTGGTTTTTACAGTCCTCACCATTGGGAAATACTTTTTAAAAATATATATTTTTATTTATTTCAGGGAGGAAGGGAGAGGGAGAAAGAGAGATAGAAACACCAATGATGAGAGAGAACCATTGATTGTCTGCCTCCTGCATGCTCCTTACTGGGGATCGAGCTGGCAACCTGGGCATGTGCCCTTGACTGGGAATTGAACTGTGACCTCCTGGTTCATGAGTCCACGTTCAACCACTGAGTCATACCGTCAAAGCAGAAAATACCTTTCAACTCATAGACTATATATACTAAGCCCTGCTCCTACAGCTGCACTTGTTTAAGTTCAGAAAATGGAGCTCATGGCATCTCTCTTGGCAATCTGGACTGTAGTTCTTGGAAGAGAGCAAAATGCACTTTTCTTGGTGCCATTGTCCTGTGTTAGAGCACACAGTGATGAGAAAATGCATCTTCATAAGGGCATCCGTTTTCATTAGAAACGGCTTCTTCATAAAACCTGCACATTCTATGGCCCTGAGCTTTGCCTAAAGCAACTGAAGTGTCCTTGCCAATCAAAACTGTTTTTCCTTCAACACTCAGCAGAGCTATATGTAGAGAGATTTCTTTAAAAGCTTTCAGCATGCTCAGCTAAGAGCAGTGTTTTTAGTCTCGCTACACTAGTGTGCTGGTTCCTTTTATCATTCAGACCATCTGTGATGAAGTCTATTTTGTTAACTCAGAAAAACCTCAATTTCTGTAAGACTTTAAGATGAGGCATTAACATATTTTTATGGATTGTGCTACCAGTGTGGTTTTGGAGACTTCTCATTTCTGTTATTAAAGAGAAAAACCCTGCCATCTAAGCATCTCATAAGAAACTATTTTTACATTTATAATCTTTAAAGATGCTTATGGAAAGAAGTGCTTTGAACTCTTTCAGTAAGGTTTAGCTCAGCCTAAAGCTTAACAATAATGTAATTGGAGTGAGGGTGTCTGATCCTACCTGTCAGAGATGCTGCAGAAAGATACATAAATCACAGTCAGAATCTCATCTGAGACCAGTTTAAAAATTAATGTGGCTAAAAGTCATTCCTGTGTGATCTGGTTTCTTAATACCACAGTACACCCTGAATAGTAAGAGTTCAGAGCTGGAATGCGCCTTAAAACTCACTTTACCCAACCCCTTTGCGCCTCAGATGAGCAAACTGAGGCCACACATTCGGACCGGAAAGCACACACTCTCCACTATCCTCTAGTCGGAGTGTGCTTCCTAGAAGCAGTAGCATCACCTGATCACTTGTTAGGAAAGCAGGATCTCAGGCATCACACCAGACCAACTGCATCAGGATCTCCATTTTCACCAGATCTCCACATGGCTCATAAGCACATTAAGGTTTGAGAAACACTGCTCCCTGCCACATTGTTTCCCAAGAGCCATGTGGCAAGACTTTGGAATCAGGTACAACCAGATTTAAAATCCAGATTTTTCCATTAACCAACAAAGTCGCCTTGAGCAATTTGCTTAACTTCTGGTCCTCAGTTTCCTCAATAGTTAAATGCAGGGGAAATACAACCTACACTGGAAGGTCACCATGGAGTTTAAAAGAAATAATGTTTGCATAGTTCCTAGTCAAGTACCTGACCATAGACCCTCAATAAATGCAAACTCCTCCTCCTACTGCTCTTGCTACTACAGCTGTTACAACTGCTGCTGCTGCTACTACTATTATTGCTATGCTGCTTCTACGAGCACTAATGCTGCTGCTGCTGCTGTTACTACTGCTATTGCTGCTGTTACTATTCTTGCTGCTACTACCACTGCTGGTCCTGCAGCTAGAACTACAGCTGCTGCTACTACTGCTGCTCCTGCTGCTGCTTCTACTGCTGCCACCACCACCGACACGAGTATTAGTATCTCAGAGAGGGAAAGTAGCCTGTCATATATTGACCAGTGACCAAAGTGAAACTGGAGCCCAGGACTCCTGACTCACTCCAGTCCAGTTTTCCCTGTACCTCGTCATTTCCCTTCTCTCTCTTAAAAAAAAAAATTTTTTTTTATTGACTTCAAAGAGGAAGGGAAAGGGAGAGAGAGAGAGATAGAAACAGCAATGATAAGAATCATTGATCGGCTGCCTCCTGCACACCCCCTACTACTGGGGATCCAGCCCGCAACCTGGGCATGTGCCCTGACCAGGAATGGAACCGTGACCTCCTGGTTCACTGAGCCACACTAGCCGGGTTTCCCTTCTCTTTTCAGTATAGCTAAATGCTCCAGTCAACCTCCTTATATAAGACAACTCTAATTCGTGGAGTAGGGTGTAGAAAAAGGAGACTGCTTTTTTAAGGTTTCCGTTTAAAACTCCAGGGATAATAAAGCCAATTTACCCAATTCTGTGTCTTCTCAAACTGTCATAGCCTCAGCTCGGTCCGAATTTCTTCTAGGTGCAGTTTCTGTTTCCTTCAACTATGGAATATGGCCTTTCTCTAATTTTGCTTCTGGCCTCCAAAATACTTTCCATAGAAAGTTTTCCTGGATCTGGTAGTACATTTGTTTTCTTAGAAAACAGGATATGTGTTAAATTACAGGGTGACCTTGATGTTTTTTTTAAGATGGTTTTTTGTGTATTTCAGTCTTAGTCCTTTCAGCATTTTTTTTAGTGTACCCACCTCTCCAGATATGTAATTGCACTTTGAATTGTCGTAAAGGGAGAAAAACCCCTCATTGTATAAAAACAGGACTTTGCCATTTTGAAAACTGAAATAGATGTTGACTTCTTTTTTTGAGGTCCCAGAATGACGTCTTGTCCCTGTTCTTAGACCTGAATACATGTGACTTGAGAACACTGACTAAAATGTTAACCTCTCAGCCTCAAATAGACTGGATTACAAACTGTCATAAATCCTCTGGTGGGTGGAATAGCATATTTATGTGGAAAGTATCCAAATATCCCAACAAGATCTGTAAAAGCACTTTGCAACTGTTGATATCTATCAGGTATTCTTCTCCCACTTAATTAAGGAAGTGAAAACAGAAAAACAAGATTATACAGTAAAGCCAGTTTCAGGCCAGCCCCACTGTAGAAGGTAATGCAACTCCACGTTTTATAAGAAATTACATGCCCTAATTTGGATGGACACCAGGAAAGTTGTGCATCTGAGCCCATGTGTTGGCTCTTTATACCAGTGGAAGAGTTCTGGGGTGAATTAGAAACCTTTAAACAAACCCCGGTAGTACTGATGTATGTCATTCATATCCAAAATATGTAAGGAACTCATACAACTCAATAGCAAAAAATAAGCAGAAGAAATTTTAAATGGGCAAAGGACTTTAATAGACATCTTTCCAAAGAAGACATAAAAATGGCCAACAGGTACTAGTATATGAAAAGATGCTCAACATTACTTCTCATCGGGAAAATGCAAATCAAAAGCACAATGAGATGTCACCTCTCACCTGTTAGAATGGTTATTATCAAAAAGTCAAAAGATGACAAGTGTTGGCAAGGGAATTATTGATGGGAATGTAACTTGCTACAACTATTATGGAAAACAGTATGGAAGTTCTTAAAAAAATGAAAAATAGAACTACCATATTATCCAGCAATTCAATTTCTGGGTATATATCCAAAGGAAATGAAAACAGGATATCAAAGAGATATCTGCACTTCCATGTTCACTGCAGCATTATTCACAACTAAAGGCCCGGTGCACGCATTCGTGCACCAGTGGGGTCCCTCAGCCTGGCCTGCGCCCTCTCTCAATCCAGGACCCCTCGGGGGATGTCTGCCAGGCCTGTGGGGATCGGGCTGAAACCAGCAGCCTGACATCCCCCGAGGGGTGTAGTAATGTGCAAGCGGCAGGCAGCCGGGGAGAAGCCTAAGCCCGTGCTGGGTGCCACGCTGCTCCCGCTCATCTTCGCCCCACTGCAGTAGCGCTGCTATGGAGGCGGGAGAAGCTTGTGCCACCGCAGCGCTCACCAGCTGTGAGCCCGCGTCTGGTGCCCATCGGTCAGCTGAGCGGTGCTCCCGCTTTGGGAGTGCACTGACCGCCAAGGGGCAGCTCCTGTGTTGAGCATCTGCCCCCTGATGGTCAGTGCACGTCATAGCAACCGGTTGACCAGTCGTTCGGTCGTTTGGTCTCTTAGGCTTTTATACATATAGATATATCTCAGAACATTATATGTAATTTGCCCAAGTTTACACAGCAAATAAATGGCAGGATTGGAACCCAGGTGCTATGGCGCTAAGCTCTGCTATTTTTTACTATGCTATATCATAAGATTGTTATGTTGCAGTTTTCTTTATACTTAGCTAGTAGATAAATTGGTTATTTTGTGGTACTCGTGAAATCAAAATGGTGAGTTCAATACTTGCGTGTGCCAATTATTGAGGCTCTGCATATATAATATATAAGCTAAAGACTAAATTTTTAATTTCAAAGTCTTCAATTAATTATTAGCTAACCTTTTCAAGTCACAAGACTTGATAGTTTTTCCTTTCAGGGTTACGTGTTATATAAACTACAAATATAAAAAGCAAGCTAAGCATTATTTCAAAAATATCCTAAAGTTGCAATACAAGGGACCAGGTGCGAATACTAGAGTTTAGTAAGAGAGAATTTAAAAGAGACTAGGAACAAGTTATTTGCCTGTTGAACACCTGGATGCTTGCTTTCCATGTTGCTATTTGCATGAAAATCTTCCCCTTAAGTCAGGGTTTATTATAGGTTGGACAAGTTTACAATAGTCAAACATAAACTCAGGAATCAAAATCTCCCAGTGCACTTAAGAAACAAACCCCCTCCCTAATCTGTAGCCAGAGCGCTCCTGGGCCCTGGGACCACCGCATTGTGCCAGCTACTCCAGCACAGACCAGGAGTGTTGCCATGGCGGCAGGGACCCAAGTGCGTGGGCTGGTTTCAATAACCGGCAGCTGCTCACTTCAGAAAAAGCGGGATGACAGCCCAGTTCTGAATGAGCGTTGTTTTTTTTTTTCCCTCTGGGCTTTGACCTGACCTGAATATTGTTTTCTCATTGAATTTCCTTTTATTTGTTTATTTTTAGATATCAACTTTCCTTGAACTTTCCTTTTCATTTGTGTTGCTGTTGGCAGGACTGTAGACTTCTCTGTTCTTCTGTAGAAATTTTTTTTTTCTTTAACAGTTCCTGAGCTTTTCCTTGTGCCTCCTTACCTACCTCTCCAACACACACAGACACATACACGCATACACTCCACTTTGCCTCATTTTATAAGGACCCAGAACAAGGAAAGTGGGGAGAGGTAGAAAAGGGTAAAGGGGGAATAATTGGTAATGGAATAAGACTTGACCTGAAGTGGTGAACACAATACAATACACAGATGATGTACTGTAGAGTTGTGTGCCTGAAACCTATATAATTTTATTAACCAATGTCACCCCAATAAATTCAATTTAAAAAAAGGCCCAGAACAAGTCCATGGAATTTATTTACTCTAAGAACTTTGAAGGCCAAGATAGCTGCTCTCCCCGCCCCCACCCCCCCCAAAAAAAACACCACCACACACACAAACACAAAAAACAACCCTCCATGATTCATCCATCTACTGGCACATTTTCTTTGCCCTGTGAAAATATGGAATAGAAAATATGACTCTTACATTATTGTGGGCATAATCAGAGAATCTATGTTTAATCCTAAACATATTCTCAATTCACAACCCGTTGTTTTTTTCTCTTTGTTTATGTGTTGGCAAAATGCAAAGAATATAAAAATATAAACACTATTAATATGACTTCTGACTTCTCACAGGGATTGCAGGAAAGCTATTCTTAATGTAAGACAACAGCTGTACTATATTTGAGGTTAATTGTGCCCCCTCCAAGTCTTAAGGAGTTTGGCATAATTTGGAAATAAGGCTTATACTGCTGTTGAACTTTTTAAAAATAAATTTGAAACAATCTGTATACAAGTTGTTACTAAAGACTGTCAGAGAAAAATGTTTGTGGACAGGGTTTCCAAAAGGCTGACAGAATCCAGAACTTGCTTGGTATTCAAAGGAGAGCTCATCCAACATTATCCTGCACAGTGTATAATTACTTGCATGTTGGGAGCCAAAAAAAGGGAATGCATTCCTGTGAGTGTGTTTATACTGAAGAGTTTGAGAAGCAAAACAATTCAGCAAGCATTCTTCAGTCCCAGCATCTGGGAATAATTAATTTGCTTGCTATGGTTTATAGTATGAAGTTGAGAAAGTTGCATCTCTGCATTGAAACCATTTGCCTTAGTTAAAGCTTTCTGCTTTAAGGTTTAACATTGTAGCTAATTTTAGTAAATCTGTTTATTTTTAATCTGAAAACGCTGTGACAAGGAAGAACCTTCTGCTTGTGATTTCTTGATCATTTTCTTTTCTGTCTTATTCCCCCTGTGTTCAGGAAGCAGCACTCACACACCTCCTGCTCCCTTCTTCCTTGCAGTGTAATGCTGTAGGGGCAGAGAGCTCTCAGAAGTGAGGCAGGCCCTGGAAAGGTAGTAGGGTTTTTACATAGTATTTTCAGTAAACACATATCTAAGCTCTGAAGAGTTCTCTGGAATATAGAATGTATTTTTGTTCCATTTTACAAATCTTAGGCTAGGACACCGGAGATTGTCCTGTGAGTCTCACAATCTATGAACATAATGAAAGTTTTGTGACAAGTGCTGATGGATTATGATAGGTGCTACATCCCTTTAATTGTGACTTTTGGGAAGGAAGTACTATGTATACCTGTAATGTCCTCTCTATCCAATCTAACACCTCAACATATTACAGGAGACTTATCAGTCCCTGGGGCTTCTCCTCCAATTTCTCTCTAAGACGTGCTGGGATGAAACGCAAGTGTTATTCTGACCTTAGTTTGTTTAATTCTGGATTTCAAAATAAGGTCAAGTGTCTTATTTTTGTTGACTGGGTGCTCCAAGTGTTTAACAGCGTTAAAGGTTTTCTGTAACACTTTCGAATGCTCGTATTTTACAACCTCTAGCTATTTGCTTTTGAATCCTGGTGAGAAACAAACAGAGGAACTTCCTAAATAGAGCCAGGTTTTCATTCCCCCACCCCAGCCCCACTCTTTTCTCAGGGTTTATCTCCACAGTTGGACAACTGTTTCAAATTGCTTGTGCCCTATATTTCTGGTTTCACTGGACTAATTTTTTACAATGTCATTGTCCTTTGTGGTAAAAATGATAACTTCTAGAAGGATTTCTGCTTATATGGGGGTTGTTCTCACAGAGTAACCGGCCTGAGGTCCAGGCCTCAAGCTGGCATGCACACTGCCCCAGAGACAGACGGTGCTTACTCAGAGGAGCTGTTTTTGCTTTTTGCCTCTACACGCTCCGTCTCTGTACATTGTGACACCTTCCTGTTCCATCCTTCAGGGATTAGATGCAGGGATTGGACGTTATTTAGTGACTAAGTACTCTCAAGCCATAGCTCTCCA